GGATTTGTCTTTCTTCTTTAACTACAGATTCACTTCATGCCTCACTACACTCTCCATCATCCTCTTCTTCTGAGTTGCTGTGACTGGTACTTTCTTCAGCCTCTTGCTTTGGCTCTATCTGATTTCCCTGACTTTTCTGTCTTTCTATGAAGGGAATGTACACTTGAGAGTTTGCATGCACCTTATCCCAGTTCTCATGTTCACAAAAATTTGCAGATCTGGAAATTACTACATTTTTGTTTCCATCCAAGAAATGATATGCCTTTGACCCTCTTTCATAGCCCAAAAACCTCATTTTCTTTGCTTTTGGTTTTCCTTTTCTTCTGGTTTCCTTTGGTACATGTACCCAAGCGCTACAACCAAAAACTCTCATATGCTGTATGGAAGGCTCCCTCCCATAGAGCATATAGTATGGAGTTTGCTCTATAGCAGAAGAATACAGGCAGTTAACAATATAACAAGAAGTATCCACAGCTTCTCCCCAAAAGGCATGGCTCATACCAGCATCAGCTAATAGAGCATCCTTCATTGTCTGTAGGACTCCATTCCTACGCTCTGCAAGCCCATTTTGAAAGGGAGAATATGGGCTGGTCTTCCTATGAAAAATGCCAGTATTTCTCAGCCAAGTTTGAAACCTTTCTGACATATATTCAGACCCTCTGTCTGTCTGAATTTGTGCCACTTTTTTATCAAAACATTTTTCCACATAGGCTAACCAATTTCTGAAATGATTGAACACTCCTGATTTGTTTTTCATTAAGTAGCAAAAAGAGTACCTTGTATAGTCATCTACAATGACTAAAACATATCGTGCTCTACCCATAGGTCCAACTATGTCTGCATGAACCAGATGAAATGGTCTCTGTGTTTGATTAGTTTGCTGTTTTGGTTTGGGGCTTATCTGAGATTTTGCCAGTTTACAAACATTACAGTCCAGATAGTTTTTACATGATTTCACTTTCATACCCTTAGCAAAACTTTCCATTTTCTGTACCACTCTGAAATTTGCATGCCCCAGCCTTCTATGCAACAGATGGGCACATTGATCATGACCATATTTTGTGCTACTTTGTTCTCTTTTAGTACATATAAATTATTTTCTAGTTTCGCTGTGATACAAATCTCATTCCCTTTCTTAATTGTACAAGTGCTGTTAGCAAACAACACTGTATAGCCTTCTTTATCAAGTTTAGAGACACAAAGTATGTTACAGTCCAGTTTTGGAACTAGCAGAACATTCTTAATTTGTTTTCTCAAACCAGTATAAATATTGTCCCTTCTCCAGCCACAGGAGACCGTTCTCCATTTGCCAAACTCACAAAGCTGTGCTCTGAAGCTCCTATAAAAGAAAACAACTTCCTGTCGTTAGTTAAATGGCAAACAGCTCCACTGTCCAGGATCCAGGTAGTGACCTTGATGTTATCAGCAGCTGCCTGCACAAGAAAAATCTTCCCTTTTCTCTCATTTTTATTTTTTGTGCTGAAGGCTTCTGAACAGTCCTTCTGAAGATGTCTCTGAGAGCCACAGATGAAGCAACGTTTCACAATGAATGCTTTGTTTTCTTGCTCTCCCCTCCTGAAAGCAGATCTCCTTCTCTCTGGGCTATCACATGTCCTTCGTTGTGGGCTGGCTTGCCTCATTTTATCTTATGATCTTTCACTTCTTCTTCTAGCCTCCTCAATAAGCCTGCTCGTGATATACTGAAGAGTTAAGTCTCTTTCTGGCATAGATTCAAGGCTTGTCACTAATACGTCATAACATTCTGGAAGACTGCTCAGAATAATATATGCCTTATGTGACGCTGTAAATTCCATATTTCTCTGTTGAAGCTCATTAAACAGGTTTTTCATCTTTTGCAAGTGATGGGACATGCTTTCACCTTCTTCAAGTTTAGCCTTATACAGCTTTCTGGTTAAGGATACTTTAGTTCCTGCTGAATCACGAACAAAAAGGAGGTGAGGTTGAGGAGCCTGATGTTGAGGGAGGCCCGGAGGGAAAAGACATGAAACCGGGCCTTCTCGGTGGTGGCTCCTCGCCTCTGGAATAACCTCCCACTGGAGATTTGTGAGGCCCCTATGCTGGGTACTTTTAAAAGCCAACTGAAAACATGGATGTTCATCCAGGCCTTACCTCCTATCAGCTCGTGATTCTCTTTTTTCCCCATCTATTATTTTATTTTATTTTTACACCTTAGACACTGTATTTATTATGTATTATATTATAATGTTTGTACTGATTTAATGTACATATTTTATGTTGGAAGCCGCCCAGAGTGGTAGAATCTACCAGATGGGCGGGATATAAATCAATCAATCAATCAATCAAACAATCAAATAAATAAATAAATAAATAAATTCGTTTCAGGGCGTCCCAGCATTCTTTAGCTGAAGTCAGTCCATTTATGTGTGTCAGTTGGCTGTCTTCCAGGCAAAGAATTATTGTAGATAGAGCTTTCTCATTTTTCCTTTGTTCCTCCTCATCTAGGGCAGCAGGGGGATTGTTTACTATCTCCCACAATTCCTCCCGTCTCAAGAACATCTCAGCTTTCACTGACCATGTCTGGTAGTTATTTTCATTCAGTCTGGTTACTGGAAAACCTCCCACACTCATCCTGACTCAGTTTTAACACACCTGATCATTATGGATTCTCATTAATACACTCCATCCTGCTCAGGCCTGTAATTTTCCTTGACAGCACCACTGTATGTCTTAATTGGTACACCAAGTGGAGGATGTTCAGTTCCACAGCAGCAAGTCATATACAGTGGTGCCTCGTATAATGAGCGTCCCGTGTAACGACGAATCGCATAACGATGTGGATTTTGCGATCGCAAAAGCGATGGCATTACGATGTTTCCTATGGGGAAAATCGCTTTGCAATGTTTCCCCATAGGCCCAATTTCCCCCCAGCTGACCGGTAGGCGCTTTGGCGCGACCACGGTGGAGGCTTCCCCGGCGGCCACTCCGAAGCCAGCGCCGCCCAGCTGGGGGGAAAAGGCTTCGGCGTGACCGCGATGGAGGCTTCCCCGGCGGCCGCTCCGAAGCCAGCGCCACCCAGCTGGGGGGAAAAGGCTTCGGCGCGACCGCGGTGGAGGCTTCCCCAGCGGCCGCTCTGAAGCCAGCGCCGCCCAGCTGGGGGGAAATGGCCGCCCGCAGCGTTTTCGCGCCCTGCCCTCGCTTACCGAGGCGGCGAAAATGGCGGCCAGATGGGGTTTTTTCCCCAATAGGAACGAATTAAACGGAGTCCCCCCCCGCATAGCGAAGAATCCGGATAGCGACGTTAATTCTGGAACGGATTAACGTCGCTATGCGGGGCACCACTGTAATAACTAGCATGGTAAAAGAGCAAAGTCGAAGAATATGTATTTTCACCTATGTCACCAGAACTGGCCAAGCAAGGGAGCCAAAGACCATGCTATGTATTCTTCAACAACAAGATGGCTAGCTGGCAGTGCTTTGCCATGATCGGTTCCCTGCCTGGGGAACCGATCCTGACAAAGCAATGCTTAACAGCTGATCGGCAGTTTCAAAATGGCCGCCCGCTGTTTTGCCTCGCTTAAGAGGCACAGAAAATGGCCGTCCCTATGGAGGATCTTCACTGAACAGTGAGTTTTCAGTCTATTGGAATGCATTGACCGGGTTTTAATGCGTTTCAATGGGCTTTTTTATTTCGCTTTACGATGTTTCCGTATAGCAACGTTAATCCTGGAACGGATTAACGTCGCTATGCGGGGCACCACTGTACATTACTGCTCATGCTGCTACTGCAGTTAAAACAACTATACAAATGGCCTGCTTATTATATAATAACTAAGAAGAAATTGCAGTCTACCTAACACATGAAGATAACAGTTAACTTCAAAATTATACAGCCTGGAAAAACCTGGACAATTTTGGAAGGAAAGTTTTCTTTCTCTTTTTCCAGCGACATCATGCTTTCCACTTTAGGAAACTAAATATTCTGAGAAGAATTGAAAGCATTGTGGTTTTCTTCAAATTATATTTCAGAATCATTAGGGAAATGCTTTGCTAAAATAAAAATGGATCCTTCAGATTTTTTTTACTTACACTGTAATCCTAACATATTATCTAAGAGGAAATCATGCCAAATTCAGTGGGATGTCCTTCCAGTAGTCTATGTAAAAGACTGAAATGTAGTGCAGTATATAGTGTACAAGACTGAAGCTTTAAAATGTGGTCTATTTCTCATTACTTACTTGTTTTTAATCAGGCTTCAAAAGATCCAGAATGTTGATATATCTAATCAAAATGTCTTTATTTTGTCTAGTTTGGTCATAATAGAAAGAACAAGGAATAGGCTGTGTGGTCCCCAAGTTTACAAAAAAGAAAGACTGTTTAATACCTTTTACTGGACTACTAAAAAAGTAAAAAATCAGCAAGCTTTTATGGATGAGATCCACTTCCTCAGGCTAAGCACACTTCCTTTATGGTCATACTAGTTACAGTGGTGCCTCGCATAGCGACGATAATCGGTGCGATATTAAAAAGCCCATAGGAATGCATTGAAACCCTTTCAATGCATTCCTATGGGCTTCAGATTCACCTTTAAGCGAAAATCCTCCATATGGCGGCCATTTTCGCTGCCCGGTAAGCGAGGAATCCGTCTCAGAAAACAGCGGGCAGCCATTTTTTTTACCCAGCAGCCATTTTGGAACCGCTGATCAGCTGTTAAAAAATCATCGCTTTGCAATGATCGGTAAGCGAAACAGGGTACCGATCATTGCAAAGCAATTTTTCCCCATAGGGAACATCGCAAAGCGATTGCAAAAAGTTAATCGCTATGCGATTTCGTCATTAAACGGGGCACCCGTTAAGCGAGGCACAACTGTACTGCATTTTGACCCTTCCCACTGAATACTAAGTACAGTATAGTTCCTCTTGCTTTTCATCACCTTTCACTGGTGGAGCTGGCAGTTTTCGTCTCTGTTGTCTGGATGTGTCTATCGTTTGCATCTATGGGAGAAAAGAAATCCCATAATTTATTAGCACATATTCGTCTAGAATACTAGCACCAGCCAAACTCTAGTTGCATGAATCTTGGCAAATACAAGAATCAATATTAAAGAGTAATGTGATAGGGATACTGGCACACATTTGGATGAATACATGACCCACAGAGGCTGTGCATACAGGAGCCTACTTTAGTACACAAATCTTTCTTCTTGAAGTGTCTGCCACTTGCTTACCTGCTTTTGGTCACATTTCCTTTTCAAGTGAACACATGGAGCCACATTCAAGCCTGCCACCATAAGTGCCGAAATTCTGCTCTCAATGTCTGAAATCTTAAAATAAATCATATGTTCAGTGATGAGGGTGTTTAACAATTGGAGTGAATTGACCTACACTTCTTTAACCTCATTTATATTTCTATCAATCAAAAATCATGTATCCTCTGATTCCACATGCTCTTCATTAACATATACTTGCATGAATCATGAATGTCAGCTTTATTTATAAATTTGGATGGCAAATATATGCCAGGCACTTTTAAACACAAAGGCTAAAATCCTGTAGCTTAGGGTAGCAAGGCACATTAGGGTAGGTCCATAGAACCAGTTGTAACTTGGTGACTCAACTCCTCTACTAGTTCCATTGATTCAAATAGCCCTACTCTATTTGCAACTGACTGTGCTGAAGGAAATCTCTCAGCTAAAGTAGCTCCACTTGAATCAATGAAACTTAGGGAGGAGATGACTCATCAAATCCTGACTGATTCAATAGGCCTCCTTTAGTGTGACTTACTAGTCTAAGCAACAGGTCTTCCGCCAAAAAATGAAAATCAAACCAGAAAGAAGCATAAATAGCTTGTTGAGAATCTGAAAAAAGATGGTAGCTGACTATGTTTCAATGCCTTTGATATTCTATTTTGTTTCTGTTTCACCCTTTTGTTTTGAATTATGGCTCTTCTGTTTTAAAAATGAGGATTTTAAACCTTCACATCTATCCTCTCTCATGTTTCAGTTTATAGCTTTACTGTTTTTAACAGAAGAATTCCAGCTGGAATTGCCACCATTTAAGCAGTTCCTTGCTCCTACCTCCTTATCTGACAATAGGAGCCTAATGAGAATAAACCAACAGCATTCTATCTTGTCAAACAGTATTTTGCCTGGACTACTGTGAACTATCCCAGGGACGTGGTGGCGCTGCGGGCTAAACCGCAGAAGCCTGTGCTGCAGGGTCAGAAGACCAGCAGTCGTAAGATCGAATCCATGCGATGGAGTGAGCGCCCGTCGCTTGTCCCAGCTCCCGCCAACCTAGCCGTTCGAAAGCATGTAAATGCGAGTAGATAAATAGGGACCACTTCAGGGGAAGGTAACAGCATTCCGTATCTAAATCGCACTGGCCATGTGACCACGGAAGATTGTCTTCGGACAAACGCTGGCTCTATTGCTCGGAAACGGGGATGAGCACCACCCCCTAGAGTCGAACATGACTGGACAAAAATTGTCAAGGGGAACCTTTACCTTTTACTGTGAATTGTATTGGGAGGTGATGCATTCATATTTACTGATATTGTTGTTGTTTGTCCCCTTAACTGGGGGGGGTGCATTTGTTAAACCTTGGCTGTGCTGTATCTGTCCTGCCCTATCACTAGTTTAATTAATGTGGAGATTATGTTTAACTAGAACTATCCGCAAGAAGGTGGGTGTTGTTGTCTCCACTCTTGCCCCCTGCATCTAGATCCTTTGGCATATACTATTTTGGTTAGATACTGTAATATGGGAGAAAGTCAGACTGTGGTTAGTAAAAGTGAAGTGATTTATGGATCTGATCAGACCACCTCCAGATTTTGGTGTTGCATATGCCCATCTCTGGACCTTGGAAGCCTTCATGTGATCATATAAAATTTTTTTGGTGGGGTGTAGGGGAGCCTCAGGGGTGCCCCCACCCCAAAGTATGGAAAAATTGCCTCCATATCATCTAAAAAGCAGGAGACCTTTGAACCCAGACAGTTTTTTCAGAAGAATTTAAATTTGGTATGTGTGTGGAGAGTTAGGGTGTATCTCTCTCTCTCTCTCTCTCTCTCTCTGTGTGTGTGTGTGTGTGTGTGTGTGTGTATGGTGCTGTAGATGTTAAGTGGCCTCTGGTTCATCTCACCTGAAGTTCTGCATGATGAACTTGAGCTGCTGCTGTTGCCACTTGGTCCTCCAGGTCAGCTAGTTCGGATTCTGCAGTTATACTGTTAATTCCACGAGCTGCATCCTCAAGCTCACTTAGTTGACTCTCCAAACCATAAACATTGCCAGCTGTCAAGTAGACCTAAGCCATCCCAAAGCAGTGAGGCTGTATTAGTCTTTGTTGTTTTTTCCCTTCATCCCTACCATCCCTCTTCTGAGAGGATTTAGGAAACTGGTCCTTACAGTTTGCACTTCTGATTATTTTCACTATTGCTAATATTTATTTACAAACTGACTGAAGTAATCCAAATGATATTACAAAGATATTTTTAAATAAAGTCCCAATTATGGGCTTAGTATGTGAAATGCTGAAACACAAAAGGGAAAATGAAGGAAAGATTAAGTGGCAATGAAAGGACTAAAGAGGATGTCAATTCAGAAACATCATTGGTGGTGGTGGGCAATGAATCTTCAGTTATATAATAAGTGAAAGCAGGTGTATGTAATGAATGAGAGAGGTCCAATAAAGGAAGTTTTATATATATAGGAAGTTGTAGGAAGTTATACAGCATCAATCATTTCATCACGTTTCCATAGCAAGTTGCTTCTTCCCTACCTCATCCCTTTTCTTGCAATACTCTGAGTTGTCTGAGGTTAAATTAGGTGGAACCCTTTAAATATCACATAGGAATTGGCATGATCTGGCTGAATACGTTACTGACAGATATTATGGGGGGAAAAGACGATAAGAACTGGAGGAAAAACAAGACTACCCATAGGGTAGGGTGACGTATGTTTGGGACAAAGGAGAGGAAGAGAAGGGTTCTAGAAGGAGTGCAAAATAAAACAAAAATGGCAACACTTGGCCATTAGAAGAAATAAAGAGATGGAAACCATACATGCTAATGTTTGTATTGCATTGTTTGAACCGCTAAGTGAAAGGCAGGCACTGCCTCTCCTGCAGCCATGGACACACAAAGATCTGGTTCCAGGGGAGTACTTGAAAAGATAAGAAGGGGCTCTTGATGACAGAGAGTCAGGATTAGTGGGAACTTTGCTCCATATAAGTGAGTAAGCTTTCCACTAGCAGAGTATATTCTTGGAGTCCAAATTTGTTTGTGTTTATATAACTATCCTGGTGGGTCAGTGTGAAATCATGAGAGTGCATATGAAGTAACAAGTTTTGGCTCAAAGGATAGAGAACTTTAAATAATTTTTTGCTCGTCAAAAGTGATTTTTACATACTTTCCCTCTAGAAGAGCTTAAGGCACATGGATGAATCAACAACTTCAATACTTGAATGGATGTTGGAATATTAATGAAGCCTGGTGAAAATCCACAGGTATTCAGTCTTTTATTTCCATTACCTTTTCTCTCTGCATATGATGAACCACAGTACATTTAGCTGTACAATCCTATAATAACTCGCCTATGGGAACCCTCAATGAACTCAATGGTATATAAGTCCAAGTGAATATGTACAGAATTGCAATGTTACTCATTTATAGTGTGTGTATGTGTGCACATGCAATTTTCTTGGCAAATCTCTTTGTTCTGTGTTTTTATTTGAGTTCACATCTAACCCTTTCTCGCTTCAGAATATTTATTTATTTTATTTATTTAATTTATATGCCGCCCACTCTACCTGTCCTTGCAGCTTGTCAAAATACTCCGAGTATACAGATTTGACTTCCTGTATGCAGAGCTGACATTCAAACTCAAATACTCTCTCAAATGCTCTCTCTAAAGAGTGCTCCCACATTCTTAACAAACAAGACTTTCTCCTGCATGCATCATTGTACATATACTGTATAGCGGTTTGCCATGCTTACATTTTCTTCCAGTGTGGTGAGTTGGTCATCTAGTCTGATAGGGTCTGAACCTAATGGAAATTCCCCTTTCCCTTGGTCATGGACATCTGCTGGCGAATCACAAGAACCCGTGGATTCTGCTATGAGCTCCTCCGTTGCATTGATGACTTTTAGGACCTCAGTAGATATATTGCAGAGAGACACAGCAGAATATTTCTGTTTGGATGAGGAAACAATTTTACATTAGAAGAGAAGGACAAATATAGCAAAATTATATTAAATTGTAAAGATGTTCTGGGGTGATGGGGAAGAAATCTCACACTTTAACTGATGACACGGAATCCATCATTGCTTCTTACAGAGCATTTTGCCCATTGACATAACAAACTCTTTGAGTCTTGTGCCATTTGAGTTGCCCTGCATTTGGTGATGATATCAACAACATGCATGCAGTCCCTTCAACATACCAAACACAGATTATGTATAGCAAGAAAGTAGGAGCAGCTTTTTTTTAGTTGTCAGTAGCTAATACATTACTATGGCAGGGAAAACAACATATTTACTGGGTAAGGTGAAGGTAAAGGTTCTCCTTGACAATTTTTGTCCAGTCGTGTCCGACTCTAGGGGGCGGCGCTCATCCCGCTCTTCAAGCCATAGAGCCAGCGTGTGTCCGAAGACAATCTTTCCGTGGTCACATGGCCAGTGTGATTTAGACACGGAACACTGTTTACCTTCCCACCGAGGTGGTCCCTATTTATCTACTCGCATTTGCATGCTTTCGAGCCGCTAGGTTGGCGGGAGCTGGGACAGGCGACGGGTGCTCATTCCGTTGCGTGGATTCGAACTTACGACTGCTGGTCTTCTGACCCTGCAGCACAGGCTTCTGCGGTTTAGCCCACAGCGCCACCACGTTTACTGGGAAGTCTAGTGAAACTTATTTCTATGTAAGTGCACATAAGAGTATTATACCTTTGTTGCATGTCACAGAAGGGAGAGTATAACATCAATCACTATATAGAGAGAGGTACCAGATTTTATTACACTAACGTTGATTTGCTTGCTATGTATCCAAAGTCTGTATATTGCCATTATTTGGAATCATTGTCCCCCTCCTGTTAGAAAAAAAAGCAATGGCAGCAAGATTTAATAGCCCCTATGAGAGGATATACAGTAGCTGGCTGCATAGCTCCGTGGGACAGGCATCTGGCTATGGAGCCAGAGGTTGGTTGTTCAGTTTCCCATTGTGCCTCCTGGAAGACAAACCAGTTGGCGTGACCTTGAGCAAGCTGCATAATCCTAGGGTGCTTCCAGAAGAAGGGAATGGTAAACCATTTCTGAATAATCTACTTAGAAAATGCTGGAAATAGTTTCCATAAGCCAGAAGCATCATGACAGAAAGGAAATATGGTATGAGAGGATATACTAATGGGTATACCAACAGGTATAGTGGAATATTGATATCTAGACATGCAGTTTCATCTTCATGTATCTGTCAAATACATTCATGTGAAGACTACTTTAACATCATAAACGTGTCTTCTGTCCTGTGATACACACTGGCACTTTTGTAAAATGATTTTATTTATCTATTTATCTATCAGTCTGTCTGTTTATTTATTTATTTATTTATTTTTATTGTGCTGTATAGTTAGCTGGTGGTAGAGAGGGTGGTGGCCGACCAGCTACAAGCGCTCCTGGATGAAACAGATGCCCTGGATCCGTTCCAGTCGGGCTTCAGGCCGCGCCACGGTACAGAGACGGCATTGGTCGCCCTGTGCGATGACCTACTGAGGGAGGCTGACAGGGGCAAAGTGTCCCTGTTGGTTCTCCTTGATATCTCAGCGGCCTTTGATACCATTGACCATGGTATCCTCCTGGGCAGGCTCTCCAAGTTGGGAATTGGTGGCCTGGCACTGTCCTGGCTCCGTTCCTTCTTGGAGGACCGTCCCCAGAGAGTTCAGCTTTGGGAGAGTGTCTCGGCCCCGTGGACCCTCAATTGTGGGGTTCCGCAGGGGTCAATTACCTCCCCAATGCTGTTTAAAATCTACATGAGGCCGCTGGGAGGGGTCATCAGGGGGTGTGGGGCCATGTGTCATCAGTATGCTGATGACACCCAGCTCTACATCTCCTTTTTACCAACCGAAGGAGATGCCATTCTGGCCCTTCAGCGCTGCCTGGGGGCTGTACTGCAATGGATGCAGGAGAATGGGCTCAGGCTGAACCCGGACAAGACGGAGGTACTGAGGGTGGGTGTCCCCTCAGCCGGGGATTTGGGAAACTCCCTCTCTTTTGGGGGGGGTGACTCTGCCCGCCAGGGATGTGGTTCGCAGCTTGGGGATCCATCTGGACCCGGCGCTTGTGAGTTATTGGTCCCATAAATGAGATCAAAAACCACGAAACAGGAAAATCCAGGCTCCCTTCACTCCCGTTTGAAGTTAACTGCTTGAGTCAACACAGTTCCCGGGACATGAACTCTTGGCAACCTGCATTTAAGGCTGTTTCGATTTAACTAAAAAGCAACCACTTAATACCGCATCTTTACTGTTTAATGACTCAATTTTGGTAACGTAAGCCAAATTTATTATCTATAGGGAAACTGTTCTGTTCAAAGGACTAGAAAGGCCAATTATTAAACAACATGAGTTTATTTAAGTGAACAAAGAAAACATTTCTCTACAGTTTCATTTCTAAGCAACAGCATAACGGTTCAGCACCTTCTATAAAAATTAACTATTAAACAAAACAAAATCTAAACTATAAACTAAGGTAAACAAACGATATTCTTACGCAGTCCATATTGTTGAATTAGGTTCCTTC